TATATATATATATATATATATATATATATATATATATATATATATATATATATATATATATATATTGGAAATTTTTTTAATTCAAACTGATTTCATCTCATAGACTTGTCTCTAAGAACTTCCCATTCTGGATCATCACTTTGCTATTATACACACGCTCCGCATTAATGATGGACGGGGTAAAGCTTTGTTGAGCGAAATAACGATATCTCAAAGCATGATGGAATCTTTTGTACTTTTTTCTTTGTGATGATATTTTTGGAAAATTTGAGCAGGAAGAACTAAGTTTAGCTCATTAGAGCCAAAAGTTAACGTCAGCTGCTAATATCAAAGTTTGCATGACTGGTGTATATTATCTAGATTATACATGGGAAATCTATGATTTGAAAGAAAAGCAGGATCATACGAAAGAAAAGCAGGATCATATGTAGTGAGCATCTGCATGTAGCGGAGAATGCTGCATGATATTGGAGTTTCCCAACAAGAAATTCTGACTGCAATATATTAGTGAAAATTTCCTCTTTTTTTTTCTTTGTGATAACTCTTTGAAAGTTACTTGAGTTGATTTCTTGATCATTCTACCAGAATGTAAATTTTGCCAAGCAATAGGTCAGGAGCTAAGGTGGCCTAATACGCATGTAAATCTCGTGCGTCTGTCTTTGTGTCTGACACTAAGGAGGCCTAATATGCATGTAAATCTCGTGCGGCTGTCTTTGTGTTTGACGTCAGTGGGCGGGGACTATTGAAATTGACATGGGAGGCCTCGTGTAATTTAAATCTATTAGTGTACATTTTAAAATCTAAATTTACAATTTTATTTCACAATGAAATGGAAATATAAGGAATCACTGTCTAGTTAGTAGAATATGCCAGGGCATCAACGATAGTTGGAAACGTGGGATAATTTGCATAACGGGCGAAGCCACGTTTCCAACTATCGTTGATGTCCCTGGCATATTCTACTAACTAAACAGTAATTCCTTAATTGTAACGTATATGAAAATAAAACTGTTATATACTGGTATATAACAGTTTGGTATATCATATTTTCTACTACTTCATATTACTTCCTTTTAATTATGAATATCATTATGTTATTGTATCTATACGGAAACAAACCCTTTAAGAACCCTCAATGTGTACACCAAAGAAAAATATTTTCGGATTTTGAGAAAATTATATCGTTTAAAGGAATAATGACTGAGTTATCTATCTCATTAGGTACGAGCCATTTACCCTCTACCCACCCGAAAATTATTCAAAGACATTGAAAAGCTGATGAACGGAAATAACTGTTGCTTACTTTGAACAAACGCATACACATAAGAAATATTACAAAGCTTCAAGAAAACAGAGCACAGTATTGGGCAGACATGTGTAGTATAGATTCAGAGTTGTTCAAATCATGCTCCCAAGGTTTTGGTGGGCAGCATCAGGGTCAATCTTTGACAGGAATGATAAGGGAAAATATACTGAAAGGAAAAAGAAACGCAAGGTAACATAATATGCGAAATTTTTTTCACTGTATAACCGAAAATAATGAAAATTGTCAGAGGGATATCTTGGTTACTGTGCATTAAAATCAGTGTTCAGAACTACTCAACCGTGAAATGTATGACGTCACAAAAGGAAAAAACGTAAAAAGCTGAAAACACGTGCATATTGATGACGACATGTTTTTCAACACATCTCGTAGTACCATTTGCTGCACTTAAGTTATACACATCGTTTTTCGATATTTACAGTCGATTTGCATTTCTTGAAATCAAGGTACGGTTGACGGAAGTACCTTGGGGTCTGACTATTGCATTGCCTAAGTAAGGACAAAGGCAACGACAGGTTTCTGTGCAGTTTGTTGTGAATTTTTCCACAATAGAACGTCTTACCCGTCCTCAGAAAGGGCGTAGAAAGGTTTCCAACCAAGCCGTGACGATGACGTTGACGCGTAACGGCGCCACGTCAAGATCGGGCTATTCATCCTGCCACCTGTATAATCACCATCACATTACCTTAAAACTGCTATTAATACAGCAGGCTATCATAATCGTTACATTCACCCCAAAACCGAAGGAAATCGATAGCGCCATTTTGGTTTGTGAGCTCGTCAAGTTTACGTTATTGTTCCTCTAACTCGCGCATGCGTGCGTCGCTTGCCTACTTTATTTTTTTGGGGGGGGGGGCATGTTTACCCCCTCCCAATGCTTCCAGGGTTTGTCAAGATTTTCTTGCAAACGATCACATTTATCCACTTGACTGGTCTCCGTCAAATCCATCTTTTTCGCATCAAACGTCTGTGGGACTACGTGGACGATAGGGTTTAAAATGCCCAAGCTGGTCTCAATCAACTATGGGGTACCTTCTCGGAAGGGTTGAATAATATCCCTATTAGAAGGATAAACACACTGATGAACTCTATGCATAGGAGAATCAAGGCTGTGACAGATGCGCGAGGGAGACATGTGAGATAATGAGAATTTTCATTTTTTCTTTTTTGTGGGGTACCGTCATATGAGTTTCAATAACTCATGAATTACTGGGGAAAATTAAATGAGATTTTGGTTACGTTTTTGTTAAAGATGATTTTAAACGTTAGATAGGAAAACTGGAAAATACCTCTGAAATATATTACCTTATTTCACCTAAAGAGTTTACCCTGCGTTTCTTTTTCCTTTCAGTATATGCAAAACTTTTCCTTTCAAGAACATCGAAACCACAACACAGCCAGCAAACATCCCCATGCAGTTTTACATAAAAGTTTTGTTTATTATTTTATTTCTAATTACCCTAAAGGCTGAAATGAGTACACATAATAGAATATAGATTACTATACTGCAACAAGACTACAAAGAAACTGTAATTCAGTTTATAACAGGGTTTCATCACATATACCACAGTCAGAAAAGAAACTTGGTTGAGTTTCTTAATTATACACCCGCTCCGAAGGAGAGGGAGGGGGGCTATACAGTTTTACCCTTGTGTGTCTGTCTGTGTGTGTCTGTCTGTCTGTAACAAATTTTGTCGCAGTTTTCTCAGTAACTACCCATCGCTGATGCTTGAAATTTTATCATCTTTATTTAAGCATGCCATATGGTGGAATTCATTTTTGTACAAATCCGAAGTCAACTTACTGTTTATCCGTGCGTCTGCCGGTACCAATTTTCTGTCACAGTTCTCTCAGCAACTACACATTGCTGATGCTGGGAATTTTAGCAGGCTCTTTGTTAGGCATATCATTAAGTGGGATTCTTTTTTTTTTTTTTTTTATAAAAATCGGAAGTCAACTTCCTTTTTATCTGTGCGACTCTCCGTACCAAATTTCCGACGCTGCTTTCTCAGCAACTACTTATCGCTGTTGCTTGAAATTTGAGCACACTCTTTGTTTAGGCATACCATATGCTTGGATTCGTTTTTGTAGGAATTCTGTGTCTTTAACTGAAGTTATGAGAGCGTATATTCACATCAGAGCGGGGGTATTGCTAGTGAGCATTGGCTCACAAACTTCTTGTTTATGTCTTCATTTGCTAAAAATGAAGATGAAAATTCCAGAGATCTTGATAACAAAATCATAAAAGGGTTTGGTTATTGTTATGTGTTTGTAGGATAGTGTTAGTTTTACTGACATGTGAATGATTCCTAATGTGCATCTTGTTTGGTGCCGTAATCTTGCTTGATGTATCTGATGATTAGCAATTTCCCTCCTTTGTTTTCCTTTGTCGAAATCGGTTAGAACTGTGAGTGGTTGGGTAGTTTACGTTCAGAGGTTACTGGACGGGTTGACATTATCTTTCGAGCACAATTCTTTTTCGTTCAGTGCTCAAACTAAATGCATCGATTTTACGTAATTTAGAATATTTCTAAATAATTTTTCTGTTTAATATTCCAACGTGTTGATTTACAGACTGTTGATAGTCTATTTATTTCCTAAATCTGTTACAATTATTATAATAAGGGGGATGAGAAGACAAAAAAAGTTGTTACAACTTTTTCTTTCTTTTGTTTGGAAAAGGTATATCATATTTTCTACTACTTTGTGAGTTGCACACTTCTATTTTTTACCCTTCTTTATTTACCAGAATTTCAAAAATGAAATCTACTTGTTGTTTATTGTAGAAGATCGCCCTGCTCCAAAATCTTACAATGTGAAATATAGACTGAGAAACCCACCTCCGCCTACATATATGGTTGGAAACCACTTGCACACGGCGGAAAGGCTTCTTGACAAACGGAGAAGAGTTTGTCAGCATTGTCGCATGACAGGCGTCACCACCAGCAGTGGTCATGGGGTCGAAACCAGCTGGTATTGTTCCACATGTGACATGCCACTCTGCGTCAACCACAGAAATTGTTGGAACAATTTTCATGAAAAACTCAATATTCAGTAACTGCCATGGAAACCAGGACGATAAAGATGTAGGCGTTTTGATCCCCGTATACAATCTATCTTTTGGTTAAGAACGGTCAAACAGATAAAAGTGTATCTTTTTAATATGTCGACTTATGAACAAAAATGTTTTATTTACTTGCATGACAGATAACATTCTTATTCTTACGCATTCATTAAAAAGGTGCACTGGTGGTTTTTGTTGAAAAATGAAAAGATCCCTGATTTTCCTCCTATTTGTTTGAAATATTGTTTGAAGATACCATAATCGATGTAATGTTTTACTGAGTGTAACTCTGTGCTAGTCAGAGCTGAAACTCCTTTTTAGTCTGGCTTGGTTTTATGACTTTAGTTTGGAGACATTCCAGTATTACATATTCTGAATTATTAGAAATTTTATCAATAGAAGAACATACATCTAACATTGTTTTGCAAAGCTTTGACATTATATACGATTTTTAAGATTTCACTTGTTTAAAATGTGAAATGCATAGACAATGTGTAATATAGTATAAGTAGCAAGAATTTAGTAATTTTTTAAGCATGTTATATTTCATATTCCCATAAGTGAATTTTGAAAACGTTTATTTAAATATATATATAATATCTGTAATTTCAGTGATTGGTGAGAACGTGTTGTCCGGTGATCCTGCTAACCTGATGTTTGAGATCCCTGTTGATTCGGAAGAACAGATTGGTAGTCATATTCCCACAAAAGAAATTACAGATATTGTTTGGAACACAAATGAATGCGAGTGGAAAATAACATCAGCTTACACTTTAAGTCAAACGCCTTTCACAGAGTATGTCGAAGAGAAAGGCAAAATGGAGGGAAACGTAGAGTATGAAAAACTGCAATCTGCTGCAAATAAGACCAAACCCGAAAAAATTCAATCCAGGAGCAAGAGAGTTCAAAATTCAAAAAGATCGATGAGAAAAATTAAGAATATTACTTTGAATATTTCATCTTCTGATACAGCAGGCAAAGGTGTCAATCTAAAGACACAGAGAGGATCATCAACGGTACCACAAAAAATATCTGCGAGTAAAGCCAACAGTTCGGAAAAACAAGCCAAGAAATTGAATAAGTATAACAATTCTCAATTGCAGCATGAAAAAAGTGCTTTTCAAAATTCACAGCTAAAGGGTCAAAGTGGCAAAAGCAGGGGCATTTCTACAAAAAGATCTACTGCAACTTCGACAGTTTCAAAGAAATCACCAACTAATTATTCACAAAAAATGAAATCACAAGATAAAATAGTAAAACCAAAAATACGACAAGGTCTGTACCGTTATGACTTCAGAACTTTCAAAAGGAATGGAAAACGAAGTACCAAAACAAAAGAAAGCATGCCGCTTATTTCTTTCAGTAAAGTAAGCAAGATAAATGAACCGAGTTCAGTGAAAACAAGGAAAAGCCATCCTAAAACCACTGATTTGAACACGCAACTTGTTCAGTCTGATTTAAATGTCGAATATGTTCAGCACCAGTTAAACACTAAAGACATTCAGACAGATTTCGATGAAAATGAAAGTACAATGTCAGAACCTGCAATTGATACAACCATGAAAACAGCGACGGAAAACAGAGAAGAAATAGCGAAGCCCAAAATTGGAATACATATTGCTTATCCTTCGCATTGTTTGGCTTACCAAGAAAGAAAAGGAAAGTGTACATATTGCCAAAACAACCCAGACATGGAAAAGAAAATCGAACCTATCAACACTAAATGCAAGATCTGTAATGTTTACCTCTGCAAAAGTATCTGGAGGAAAGGTGGACGATCTTGCTTCGAGCGGTACCATAAGGAAAGGGCAAAGATTATCACCGAGTCAGTGGTGGGTCATCCTCCTAACAAAGAAGAGATCATGTCCGCCCATTACCCTGTGAATATAAGCATTCAAGAAGACAGTAGAAGAAAAAAGGTCTGCGAAATCTGTTATGCAGAAAAAACCCGAAAAAAAGACCAAGGATCCACCCTCAGTGGTTGTAAATGCAGTATTTGTACTGTGGGCTTATGTGCTAAGTACAAAGACTGCTTTCAGACATACCACAACAAACTTTTCGAGATGAACCAATATTCTTGAAACTTTGTCGGAAAATTTTCACTCCTTTTATTTGTGATCATGATGAACTGAGAATATACAATGTACTTCCAATCAACAAGTTGTTAGTGTTTGTACAGTGCGATTTTGTGCTGGGACACACGTTTGTTTGAATAATTGTGTCTAATGTATGTTTTAAATATGCCCTGATGTTTTATAGGGGAAAACTTTATTTTAAAAAAATGGACCAAAGAAAAAATACTTATCGATGATTTTATTTAAGACGAAGCAGTCGTGTAATTTTGATGGATACTGGTGCATTTGTTTTGTTGAGAGTTTAGTTTTTCGTTGCCTATGTACAAAGTAGTGACTATTCCCATATAGTATCATACTTGTTGTACCAATAAATGGACTGAAATAAAAAATGATCCATAATATCATTGATATAGTCTTTTTGAGAGTAAGCTGGTTCGTCTTTTTATTGTATTCAACTGTTTCATACTTTGATCTGCATTTCTTTCATTGTTTATCTATTGATATTTCTGTTGTGAAATTCGCTAAACCTGAAATTTCAGAGATATGGACAAAGTTGTTTGGCTATTTGGTTATACTGTTGTAATGTAGTAATGTAGATATATTTTGCATTGTGTGCTAGTACTATGTTAAAAAGTTAAATATAATCTTTCACAACACTAACCAAAAAATGCTTTCTCGTCCTTGGGACCAGGTTTCAAGACCACAAACTAAGAACAGAGGTACAATTTCAAATAAGTATACTTTTGGCAAAACCTTTGAAAATAAAACAAAGTTTCCACTTACAAATGTATGTTTGTATTGGACATAAGTCTTTTTTTCAGTTTATGGTCTTGGGTTCAGATCCCACTTTTGGTGTTTTCCGGAGTCCATGTTTGCCCTGTCAACGATTCGTATTGTTTACATGATCTATAAGATTAATCAATGTTTTATCTTCACCTTTTTCATTCTTACAGAATGTGGGCCCTATCTTACTGATTCAAAAGTCAGTCTATTTTAGGAGGAAAGGGGGTCCAACTTTTTATTTTGCAACAAAGTTTTTGATAGCATTACCGTTTCTATTGGAGGATTTGACCTTACTGCAACCAAATGGGGTGGCGGGGGGGGGGGGGGGACTGGCCTGCAAGTGTAAATGTCCATGGATACTAAATTAATGTTAAAACATAACTCTCAAAAGAACGCTCTCTCCTCCGATACTAAATGAATCATAACTTAGTAAGTAATATTTCATTAATGAATGATATTCATTAATTCATTTTTATCATATGTGCGTTTAGAAGTATCAGTGCCTATACAATTCTCTATAAATAAAATGGAGCCGCATTCACGTTGTATTCACAAAAAAAAGAAAAAAATTCTCTGAGAGAAAACTTCAAACACTTGTGGAAGAAGTCGAAATTCAAATATTTTCTTTGACAACGAGCAATTTAAAGGAAGAAATGTTAAGATGTCTTAAAGTTTAGACAATTCTTATGGTGTAAGTAAGGACGGTTTCAAGTTTGAAGAAACTAATTTAGGACTAAACTGTGTCGTAAGATTACTCTTAGACACATCTTAGTCCTTTAAAGATTTTATGCTCATGTCCACTGCTCTTTGGTGCATATTTTTGGGAGGCGGAACCTTAAAGGGGCTAGCGGACAGATTCAGTATAATATCATGACTTAATTACTAGAGCATTTCAGACCGATATATTATAAAAGCGTGTTTAGAAACTTCTTTCATCTGAAAATTATTAAAACTAAGAATTCCGGGACGCGTTTGATTGATGCACATTCTTGCACATTCAAGCCCCTTTAAGGTTAAGCCTTGGTAATGTTTGCATTCATATAGGCTGGTATTTTATAGAATGCACGCTTCATTTTGGTTTAAATATACATTAAATTGAGTTCTCAAGAATCGCTGGGCCATTTTCAACCAAACTTGCCACAAAATATCCTTGGGTAAAGGGGATTCAAATTTGTTCAAAATTAAGGGCCACGCTCTCTTTCAAGGGGAGATAATTAAGAATAAATATAAAAGAATATTACAGTATTGATTTTGTACAGGTTGTCGGATAATGTCATTTGTCATTCAGGAATTAAATATCTTGAATTTTTATAAATACAGTTGCTGTTTCACAATCTTCTCTCTCGATATTTTTTTTTAAATTTCCACTTCAGTGTTTTGGTAATCTGATACAATCATCATAAGTGAATAGCGTTTAGTACTCGTGTTCATGTAAAAATTCAACTTAAGAGTATACAAGTAGTTCAAAATCATCTCAATTTAACTTTCTGTTGTAGAGGGACCAGAAAGTAATACCTTTCCGCATGGAGACTTTGAGTATGATCGACACGTTCCTGTTCGTATCACCCAGGAGGAAAGTGTGTGTCGCCGGCGGGTGTGTATCGTCTGTAGGTCAAACAAACTAAAGACAACCAGCGGAGGAATGATACAATCTCGGTGGAAGTGTCCAGAATGCAAAGTGGCGCTTTGCCGAGGAAACCGGAACTGCTACGCTCTGTACCACTCCTCAGTTTTCAAAATTCCTTTCGAGAGTGCACTGGCTCTTAGCAGATTTTTTCAGCCTCCTGATAAAGCAGCTGTCACTGTAATATATCCTAGTGATAGAAGTTGATTATTGAAAATGGTGCAGTGATAATTTTTGTTCTAGAAAAGAATATAAGAATATGTTATATATTGAATGAAGATACACAGTCTAAAACCATTTACATTTTTGTTTTGCAGGAAATTGCGTCCTGTTCAGTTTGTTTTATCAGAGACATAAATGACATCTCTGTAATTTATGTCTCTGGTCTTAACTTTGTTTATTTTTTAATTGTGTGGTTGAATTCAAAGAAACTTTCACTTTTTTTTTTTATTTTTATGCATTTATCAATTGAATCCAAGTAGATGTATGTACTCTTACCCCTGTAATGTTTTTCTTGTTTTTTTTTTTTTCGCGCAGACAAAACATTTCTAAGTCTACAGAAGCATACAAGTTCCCAAATGAAAATGTTTGAATGTTTGTGTAGATATTAAGTTCGATAGACATATGCATAAAAATTATCTCATTTTATTTATTTTATATTTATTTTATACACATCAACTATGGAGAGCTTCTTCGACTTTAAATAACCCGTCATTTTTTGACCTCGAGATGTTTTTCGTAGATAGTCAGTATATTTCTGTATTTCCGCGCTTTATGATGGTGGACAATGCTGCATTTTTTAAGGTGGAGATTCTAATGTCTTAAAAACAGAACTTTCAAGGCTAAATGGATATTCCTCTCCTTCTTTGTCATCTACAAGTCGGACCCGAAAAGAATAGGAGGAACTTGACTTCAGACCTGATACAGAGGCTTGTGATGCATCATGGGATACAAGATCTTTGACTGATGTCCATTGCCCTTCAGGCATCTCCTTGTACTGTATATGATGTTTGAATTCTGAAGACAAATGAGGCACATGTTTCCAATGTATCGTTATGCAATTGGAACTGGCTTTAACCAAAAAAGGTTTTCCTGGAGTCATCCCATCTTCATCGTCCTTTAAGTTTGAATACCAGTAATTTTTAATTTTGACTTTGGAAAAGTTCACTCTATTTTCACCTCTAAATAACGAAAATTGTATTAACAACTTACCGTGTCAGAATTGGAAAACAGGTCAACAGGATCTGAATGTTCGTATAAGTAGCTAAAAATAATATATAAAAAGATCTCAACATTTTATGAAACATTTGTAAATGCTACGTACATATTCAATTACTTTCCAACATTGTCGTTGATTTAAATTCATAAATAAACTTCCCCTTGAATTTCTTAAATATACAGATGTGTATTGTCTGTACATTTACTTATTTACTGGTCCAATAAATTGAAATAATCAACAAAAATGAAGCTTAATTTGGTAACAATTTAATTTTTTGAAACAATTCATTTTAATAATTACTGATAAACATTTATATGCATATATTAAAATTTTAAAGAAAACTAAAAAGTTTATACTTTTCTTCAGTCATAATCAATTCATCATAATCCTTCAAGACGCTTTAATCCGACTGGCATACCGAAAGTATAAAACAAATAAAGACAAAAAATTCAATAAAATCAAATGAAATACTAATAAACTATAAATGATTTAAAATTCTAATTTCTTTTCGTATATATACTTACATGTACATACACTGTATGAACAATTACATTACTGCCAAAATCATTCCGAAATACCTACAAAGCTATGCTGAAATTGATTCCAAAACACTCGTAAGTAGCTTAGACCCTGATCATTCACAGGTATGTATACAGACAGGTATGTATACAGGTGTTTGAAATGCAACAAAAAACTGCAAAGTATCTGCATAATTTATCAACATTTGTAGGGGGGGGGGGGGGGGGGGGTTGGGGGGGTTATTACCCAATTTCACAAGTTTAAGGTCAGAAGACACGTTCCTCATTAATATATATTTTTTTTCCGAGAATTCGTCATTGAAGTATTGCTACCTTAACAAGTTTTCCCACAAAAAATTAAGGTACCTTACCAGGCATTTGTGTATGATACTAGAGGATGTTATTTACTATATAATCCTATTGGAAATCGCTAGCATTGCCAATATCTTAATTTTTGGTGTCTTTATCTACTTATAGACACTTTGAAAGCAGTTTAAAAATCAGAAGAGGTCAAAAAAAATTAAAGTGCTTAAAGTACATGGTAAAACTTTATTATAAAATCGGATAAAATCCTGAAAGGGCTGACTGTTTAGATGCAGATTTTTTGAAAGTATCTAAGTTTCGTCCTGTCGTACTTTCTTTACATATGTTTGAATGAACAGGGATCCAAGCTAATTTCCGTTGACACGGCTATTTTGGAATTGATTTCAGCATATCTTGGAAAGTACACATAATTTCGGAATGACCTTTGCTATAGTATAGATGTAAAAAGTAGAATTTTAATGATTTGGTTATTAGTATTTCATAGGCAAACTTTGATAGCCTATCTAAGAAGTTCTACATCTTTTTTTTTCATACCCCCAGCATGTAAGTCGGATTATTTAAGGATAAATTACATAAACTTTTTCCTGAGAAATTGAATTGTCTTTATGTATTCGGAAGCCTTTCTCACTAAAGAAAAAAATATCTGACCATTTTACAACTTTATGATTGAACAATTCACCAAAATTTGGGGGAAAGTGGGAAAATGTATGTTTATGGTTCAATATTTTTTAAAGAAAGTATCCAATATATTTTCTTCAATCTTTATGAACAATTTGTAATTATACAGTCATGAAGAACATTCTCCTTGGTCAACTATTTTATTGTAGACAACAAAATTTTCTTATTGGCTTTCAAATGTACCGGTAATAAAAAAAAATGATAAAAATTGATGTAAAAAGTGTATAAACAATCCTAAAATATGTTGATATTTTTAATAATTTCTTTACAATAGTACTGCTTTTGAAGAAACAAGGAATTGGGTACCCTTTCCACACTAATTAAAACAAGAAAAAATCATTTACACAGAAAAAAAGAAACTTATTGAACAAGGTCAAGAAACAGTTGTCCCCTCTAAAGTCTGCATGATGTCCGAACAAATATGTTTTTAAAATTTTTTTTAAAGCATGGACCCTGTGTTTATCGTCACATTTAAAAATAACTACATACTTACCGTTTGTAGCCACGCTGTAATGTCCTTTTGGAGAGCATGCCCAGAACTTGATATTGATCGCATCGCAGATCGATCCCATGTTCTCGAAGAATTTCTAAATGACAACGTTGCTAACATACAAAATATTCCCAGAGAGAATATCCCATTTTTAAATCGAGTAATAGCCAAAGAAATGTTAAGCTTATTTGAAATTTATTTTGTACATAGCCTACCACTGTTCCTTTTCCAATAAAGATCATGACTCCTAGCACATAAGTGACCAAATTTGCATCTCCCTTTGACAAAATAACTACACAGATGCAAAAATGGACAACGTTCGTTTCTGCTGCATCCTCTTGCCGTGTTATAGTACGTACAGACTTGCAGTGGTCGAGATTTCTTGTTGTGATGCTTCTGCAGCCATTCTTTGACTACCAATGGTTCTAATCTTTCTAAACCATAACCTTGTAGGATTTGAAAATTCTCCACTGAATGTAAGTCGTGCCCGCAATGACATGTCATCTGATTTCCTCTGCACTTGTTTTGAATGAAGTATTTACAGATATGTAGATTTTTACATCGAGGGTAACCTCCACATTGTCTTGGCTGTTCACATATTTTCAACTCAAACGCCAAGCTGGCTTGAATCTGTGGCATCCCTTTTCCGGTATCCACAAGGTCAAAAACATTATGATAAGACTGTAAGATTTTGAGTAGCTTTCCAATATTTAGGAAATTAAACTGTGCGTGCTGACGAAACAGAGGTAAAAGCTGGGAGATCGTCATCTGCCCTCCATTTGATACGATAAAATGAATGGCATTCTTTACCACCAGCATAGATGGATGAACCTCTGCTGTAGCAAACCTCTTGGCATTAAGTGCTTTTCTCATCCCTGGTACTGAAACCAAATACATTCACTAATATATTTCCAAAAGTTTCAGCAAGTAGGAAGAAACGGAGCTTTTGCACACAATATTTAGTCTAGTCTCAAACCACTGATAACTTTATAGGACAATCTTGATTATAAATAGCAGGGCAATCACTTCTGCAGGGTACATGTATGGGACAGTGTTTCACAGATATGTTTTAAATAGTATGCGTATACAGTTCTTTTTAATTCAAAAGAAGGTCATATGATTAGGCTAAACACTTGTTTATTTCCTGAATAAAAAGTTACTATAAAACTTCCTCGAAGCGGAAATAAAATCTTTATTGCAATGAAAACATATGAGTTATTGTAACCGAGACACATTAGTGAATAACTTTTGTCTTAGCATTCTCCATAACCAAATACAAATTCAGTTCCTTTTTAAATTAACAAATTCGATGCTATGGCGAAAGCTCAAGTTATAATCAAATGACCAGAAATGAAAAACAGATTGTAATTCTTCATACCGTTGTCTGTTCCTCCTTTCTGATAGGCTAAGGTATTTTTAGCTCACCTGAGCCGAAGGCTCGAGTGAGCTTTTCTGACCGAAATTTGTCCGTTGTCTGTCGTTGTCGTAAACTTTTCACATTTTCATCTTCACCTCAAGAACCACTGGGCCAATTTCAACCAAACTTGTCACAAAGTATCCTTGGGTAAAGGGGATTCAAGTTTGTTCAATTGAAGGGCCACGCCTTCTTCCAAGGGGAGATAATTCAGGGGCGTCGGGAAGTATTTCACATTGGGGAGGCGAACTGGATCGAAAAGGGGGGAGGGGTCCTAACTAACTTTCTGTGGCATAAACTAAATAATTAAAATTTCTGCCAAAATCTTGATTATTTTCCCTTTAAGTCAAGCTTATAGAGGACAGGTATAATTATCCTGATTAAAAAAGAACAATTAGATATGCAACTACAACCAAAAAAATGTGTTTTAAGTTACATATACTATTAATAACAAAACAAAACTGAGTCAATTTTAAATAGCTAGGAGATAGTTTGTTTAATTTTTTTTCCAAAACGGCATAGAAAGAACTTTGAAGGGTGTATGACGAGGTAAAGATTAAAATACATATAACTTTCTATTATTGTATAATATTTATTGTTACTTGCCGAAAGAATGCATAGTTGTGAAATTTAAAATGAACAGGGGGATAAATCCTCATAATACCTCCATTTTTGAAATGCAGAAATACGTATGACATTATAAACATCAACTGAAGTTGATTAAATAGTAATTTTACCCAGTATTTTAGTATTTTGCATTAATTTAATAGCTTACAACTTCGACTCATCAAAAGATTTCCTAACACTGATCTACCGATTGGTTAGACAATGAACAGGCCTGTTATACGCGGGGGAAGGTGTCAAGAGGGGGGGGGCTCCAATTTTTTTCCCACTTTCTCCATTTGTTTTCTGAGAATAGTCTTTTTGCTTAAGTTTTGATTATGTAATAATTCATTCATTTAAACGCCGCTTGCCCCCCCCCCCCCCCTCTGTCATACACACTTTTTCTTGCTGTTAGGTCGATCTCGGGCAAATTCCAGCATTTGAAAAGAAAAAAATTAGAGACCCCGCCCCCAAAACATAGAATTTCCAAAAACGTTGCTAGCTATGGGCCTGAAGAAGAATTTGTATAGCAAACTTGCAAGTAGTGATGGATACCATGCTTATTGTTCACACATGCCAGGTATAGGTACATGTACTGTACATGTACATCCCAGTTTGCGTCTTTGTAAACAAACAATAGCTTTCACACTTTGCCGCTCCATTGACCACAGATATCGCCGTTAAAAATTTTTGTATTTCTCATTAAAAATTCATTTTTCTTAATTTTGTTTTTTTTTCAGAATTATTGGGGCGGCGACCGCCGCCCCTTTGCTGACGCCCCTGTAATTATGATTTTGCGAAAATTAATGGCATCATTTAAAAATCTTCTGGAAGCATCCTCATGTAGTGTAGATTCAAGTTTGTTCAAATTATAACCCCCGGGGGTAGGGTGGGGCCACAATGGGGGATCAAAGTTTTACATAGGAATGCATAGGATAAATCTTCTTCTCAAGAACATAAAAGCCATGATTGTTCATATTTATATGGAAGCATCCTCAGGTAGTGCAGATTCACTTTTGTTCCAATTATGACCCCAGGGGTAGGGTGGGGCCACAATGGGAGATCAAAGTTTTACATAGGAAAATCTTTAAAATCTTCTCAAGAACATAAAAGCCATGGTTGGTCATATTTATATGGAAGCATCCTCGGGTAGTGTAGATTCACTTTTGTTCAAATCATGACCTCCGGGGGTAGGATTGGGCCACAATAGGGGATCAAAGTTTTACGTAAGAATACATAGGAAAAATCTTTAAAAATCTTCTTCTCAAGAACATAAAAGCCATGACTGATCATATTCATATGGAAGCATCCTCATGTAGTGTAGATTCAAGTCTGTTTAAATCATGGCCCCCGGGGTTAGGGTGGGGCCACAATGGGTGATCAAAGTTTTACAGAGGAATACATAGGAAAAAAAATTTTAAAAATCTTCTCAAGAACAGCAAAGCCATGATAATTAAACATATTTATATGGAAGCATCCTCAGGTAGTGTAGATATAAGCTTGTTCAAAGCATGACCCCCGTGGGTAGGGTAGGGCCAAAATGGGCGATAAAAGTTTTACAGAGGAAAAATCTTTAAAAATCTTCACAAGAACAACAAACTCAAGATTGGGCATAATAATATAAAAGCATCCTCAGTTAATGTATATTTAAATTTGTTCAAATCATGACCCCCCCCCCCCCCCGGGTCATAACAGGGGATCATAGTTATACAAGGGAATATAAAGGATATATCAATAAAAAAAATCATCTCAAGAACAGCAAAGCCATTATGTGTCATATTTATTCAAAAACACCCTTAGGAAGTTTAGATTCAAGCTTGTTCAAATCATACCCCCCCCCCATCACTTTTATATTTTAATTTTTCTATACTGAATTCTGCTTTTTCGTAGCCAAAGTGCTCAGGTGAGCGATGTGGCCCCTGGGCCTCTTGTTTTTAATTCCTGACAACCTTCATTCCAGGGGTTAAGATCCTTGTTCGAAAAGAGGGGGCGTAATGATTCCTGCGATTTTTTTTTTCACTGTTTTTCTAAAATTGTGTTACCTTTATTTTGACCTCATTGTGTCATAAGTAATAGGTATGATATTTCGAAGCCTTGATATATCGAATGACAAGCTCACATTTATTAGTTGCTGCAAATAGAGAGAAGAAATATAAAGCATCGACATAAATAAACGAAATGAATTAACGCATAACATGCTTCAACTCTCTTTCTTTTTATCATATATTTTACTATTACCGAATAAACTAATACAATACAAATGCAGCCTACTTTTGGGGCGTTTATGCCCCAAATTTCTAGTTATAAAGCTTCCACTTCTTATACTAAATATTTTCAAATACAAATGGCATGATTGCTTCCACGAAATTTCGGTACACCATTTAGAAATATAAAATTGACGACTAGTAGAAACAATGGTGGCCAATGTAAGTTTGGGTTATACAGTTAAATTAGAGTTGTTGCTGGGATCACATAACTTGTACACGAATCATTTCATAATGATGTACTGTTTTATCAATTAATCAACCAGTCAACCTTAATCTGAATTATACTTGACTTGTTAATTCTATTTTTTAAAAATTATCCTAAGCAAATAATCTCGGTCTTACCTACTGCGTAGTTTAATGTAGCTGTTTTGCAATCACTTTTGCCCTGCTTTCCAGGTCGCTGACTTGCAACATTGATAGATCAACATATGCGCGATTTTAAAAGGTAACACTGCAAATTACGCTTCGCGCAATCAATAATATGTTGATTATAATATTACGCAAAGAAATGACAAACATACCCAGCTGTACATGTGCAATATGCAGCAAAGACATTCCCTGTAACCTTGGACAAAAATGCTGACACATCAGAGTCAGGCCGCTTGTTCGCGTTAGCTGAACGAAATAATGGAATAACTTTACATCGTATGCAGCAATGGGTGCAATCATCAGTGACAGAACTATATTCCACGGAATGATCATGTTTATCCTCAAGAAATACTTTGGATTTAAGTTGTCTTTTAGTGTTTAGTTTGATAACTAAATAGTTATAAATATCCTTTTCTGAAAAATCTGGAATGCGTGATAAATCTGAGGTCCAGTTAGACAGATTGTTTAAATTGGGTACCGATTGTCCATCGGGAAAGAAGATGGGTGAACAAGGCGTGCAGAATGCCTATAGCTTCAGATATTAATAAAATTATATTCAATTTTTGAATTAAGTATTTAAAATAAAGTTCTCATTATTGAAATTTAAGAAATTATGACCAAAAAACTTTTCTGAGAAAAAAAGATCTCAGAAAAAATTATTCTTTTATTAAAAAAATTAAATGGTATTCGAGGGATTCGAACCCCTAACAATAAAAATCCGGAGTATCATATTGCTTTGAGACTAGCACGCTATTCACTACGCCACGCAGCTCCTGATAAATAGTGGCATTTAAATCATGTTTGTGATATGACCCTTGACTTAATGGACTTCAAGTATTTCTCAGAAAGATGCGAATGCTTTGTCATAAAAGTGTACTTTTAAGGTATAGTGGGTCTTTGCTCCATGTTTTTGTTAACCACAAAATGTATATTTTTATGCAAACTTTTAGGATCAACTTTCAGAAAAATGGAGCGAAGACCCACTCATATCGAAAATTTTTGTTAAAGTGTGAGAAAATGATCCTTTTTGTCCTCTTTAGTGTAGGTATGCTATTTCGTAGGCAAATAATTTCAGTCTTTGTGAGATTTTTGTAAATTGTAGAAATTTAACAATAAAATATACATTAATGTTAGATGAAATATCAAAGAAAAATTTTATATAATTGAGATTTTATTTTTCACTTCATGTTTGTCGCACTGTAGGCACTTCGCCCGCCTTGTTCACTCATCTTCTTTGAAATTGGTGATGGAATTACATCGTTCTGCCGTTCAACATCCGTTAATTTCAGAACAAGGACGCCTCGCGCTCTTTCTATCAAATCTTTTTTGCTACCTGATACAATTTCAAAAATTCTCTTAATTTTGCAAGACTCCAATCGTTGAAGAGAGTTACGCCTTCCATAACAGCTAAATGCCGTAGTCAGCGGAAGCTATGCTAATTAAGAAGAGTTCCGATTTCTAGGGGACATAACTCACGTTATTAAAATGGGGAGAACGTCAACAAGCTGCAGAACTTTATTTCTCTGGTTGGGAAAATTCAGACAAACAAGCCGGAGAGCTACAGACTCAAGCATTGTAAAAACCTTGAAGTTCGATATACAGCGCCGCTTTTTTGTCGCTCCTTTCGAGTAATACCGGATATTTCTTGTATACGTTCCCCCGCTTAAATATATTTTACTCCTATATATTCCTGATAATTTACATGTATTTACCTTTCAACGGTTCTAAACAACTCTATATGGCCTTGAAATGTCCGAGTTTTCATATAATATTTAAAAAAAATAAAATCCTCGAATTCCGACGTACGTCCATGTTAGGGCTGTGCAAGAATAACACACTCGAGGATCATATATCTAATTTCTTTAATATAATTTATAATATCTTCTTTTATACTGAACTAGAGTGTTTGTTGCCTGTTGTGTACTTCATTAAGATGTAAATAAATCTAAGAGTGACCAGGTTTTAATTCACCATTCACATGATAGTTCAAGAAATAATGGCATCCATGGATAGTGTAAGACTGCAATAGAATCTGACAATCGAAGACCATATAGTTCCCTAGCCCTCAAATGAATAATTAAATTGAAATCATTAGAAAAAACTATTTATCATTTAATTAATATGTGTGTCCAACGATCCTCCAAAAGAGATTTCACTCTGTCTTTACTGCAATTGTTAGTTTTCACGATCCATTGTGATATGCCGATCCCGATGTATTTTCATAGTATTTAAATATAAGTTTCTGTGGTAACTAAATATCATACAGTTTCAATGTACTGTATCATGAGCTCAACGTGATTCCAACAGTCCTACAAAAGAGGTTTCAGTGTTGAATCCGATCCCGATGCATTTTCATAGTATTTAAATAGACATTTGTGTGGTAACTGAATCATACAGTTTCAAAGTACAGTATCATAACCTCATAAACTTGTAAATGCTAATTATCAAAATCCTGCCTCTCAAAATTCAAGTCATAAATTAAAATAAACTCTCGGGGGTTATTTTTGGCAAAAAAGGTCAAGGTCAAGTGGATTGTAATGCTGGTATTTTTCATATTGTAATATGACAAACAGTGCACATGCTAGATAGCGTAGACTTACCTCTTAAATGTCAAAAATATGCTGTATATCGGAACTATGAACTATTTTGAAAAGGAGGTCAAAGGTCCAGCGTCACGAGGTCGGTAACCAGGGTTATTTACAAAAGCTATACTACCAAGCAATATATGTGCAAAATATCAAAGCCATACCTCTTACAGTTCTCGAGATATAGGGTGTGACAGACGGACAGCTAGAGAGACAGACGCCGGGTAAAGTGATCCCCAAGTGCCGCTCTGCTCTGCAGGCGATACAAAAAGGTGAAGATAACGAACAGAGATCGATCTTAAAACAAGAGGCCCATGTGCCACATCACTCACCTGAACACTTTGGCTAGGAAAAACGAGAAATCAGATATTTTTGAAGTTTAAATGTAAAAGTAGTCCTCGGAAGGGAGGGGTCATGATTTCAACAAATTTGGATCTGCACAAATAGAGAATGCTTCAATAATATGAATATGACTAATCATGGCTTATTTCAAGATTTTTCAAGTTTTTCCTTTACGTTCATCTGCTATTCTATTGTAAAACTTTGATCGCTCATTGTGGTCCCACCCTACTCCGGGAGTCATGATGTGAAAAAAACTTGATTCCACACTATCTGAGGATGCTTCCATATAAATGTAGTCAAGTATTGTAGTCACCAATCAAGGTTTTTATAGACTTTCCCTTTGTATTCCTATGTAAAACTTTGATGGCCCATTGTGGCTCAACCCTACCTCCGGGGGCTATGATGTGAACAAACCTGATTCTACACTACCTGAGGATGCTTCCATACAAATATGAAGAAACTAGGCTTTATTGATCTTTAGTAGAAGATTTTTAAAGATTTTTCCTATGTATTCCAATGTAAAATTTTGATGGCCCATTATGACCCCTTCCTACCCCCCAGGGGTCATGATCTGAACAAAATTGGATCTACACAATGTGGTAACAACTTTTGTATAAATATGAACAATCATGGCTTTGCCGTTCTTGAGAAAAAGGTTTTTTAAAGATTTTTTTTCTATGCATTCCTATGCAAAACTTTGATCACTCACTGTAGCCCGACTTTATTCCCTGGGGTCATGATTTGAACAAACTTGATTCTACACTTCCTGAGGATGCTTCCATGTAAATACGACCAATCAAGATTTTCTTAGGAAGAATATTTTTTAAAGATTGTTCCTATATATTTCAATGTAAAACTTTGATTCCCTATTATGGCCCAACCCTACCCCTCGGGGTCATGATTTCATCATCGTAGAATCTACACTACCTCAGGAAAATTTCACATAAGTTTCATCTTTTCTGGCCAAGTAGTTCTTGAAAAGAAAATTTTAATGACCCCACTCTATTTTTGTCTTTTCTTGATTATTTCCCCTTGGAAGTAGGCTTGATCTTTCATTTTAGGAATTTAAACTCTCATTTACCTAAGAATACTTTGGACCAACTTTGATTAAAATTGGCCCAGTGGTTCTTGAGAAGAAGTTGAGAATGTGAAAATTTCACAAAAAATCACTTGAGCTTTCAGCTCAAAAATCTACAAACAATGCAGATCCGTGAACAGTGCGTAAAACACTGATCTTCGGAAATTCCAGAGGTGGGATTATGTGTCAAGGAGGACTAAGCATCCCCTGAGGACCGGTCACACTCGCGTGAACCCTTTGTATTGATCAGGTTGATGGAACATTCAGTCGTCAAACCTAGTATTAAAACAAAAGCCTAACAATTGGTATGAAACACGTCAGTCAAATTATGACCGATTGATAGGTTAAAGTTAACAAGGTCATTTTAATGACATTATAACGATCATAGAATTTACGAAATGCTGACTGAACGAGGTTGTTGCAATCTCTGTAACATCAATTTATACGTCAATAGCCTACCTCTGTAGAAAAATTCATCATACATGTACTCAGAGCATGCTCTTGAGTATCGAATAAGCTGGGAGACGTTAACACCATATGCAGGTGACAATGGAATATTACTACATAAATTAGGAAAGTTGACGATGGAAAAGTTGAAGTCTCGTTTGTAATCCAGTTTGTTCTTAGTTGGTCCTTATCATATAAAGTCGGTAAAACATTCAAATATAAAACAGATGTTGCAGACACTGTGGCGTCTTTTATTTCAAGTTCACTGGGATATATCGAGTCAACATATGAATAGAAGTAACTATAGTTAATAGAAAAAAACGTCACGTCGATATATCTCAATGTCGATTTGAAGGCCATATATTATGTTTTCTCATTTGAGCCCCCAAAAGTTTTATTTAGATTTTCTTGGCATGTCTATGTTCTTTGATGACGAACAAAAACAAACAACAGAAATTCACAAGGACACCTAAGTTACAAATCTGACATTCAACAGGGATAAAAGAAAAAAAGGTATCCTCTAAATGATTTACTCAAATTGTTTAATTTTACACTGTAAAAAAACTTTATACTATTTATTCAGTAAATGTGCATGATATTTATATTTATGTCTTCGTCCTTACTCTGACAACAGAACGTCTGTTTCGTTTTTCTTCAGTCAAACATACTCATTTCGATCATTTACACAAAGTTCATTAGTGAATGCATTTTACTAATTACAGATGAACCCGAATCAAATATGCTCCCGGTGTCTTCCATATGTTTGGATGACGCAGATCTTCTGGTTTGTTTGGCTTTCTGTAGAAAATCTGCAGCTTCACGTCCAATCCTCGCTTTTTGACGACAATCTTCCAGCACCTTTATACGAGACATATATCCCGATTTTCTTTCCCTCTTCTCAGCTTCAATCATTAACTCTATATACTCAGCCGTATTCAATGGGTTCTCCTTCAAAGCGATTTTATTTAGCTTGTTGTTACAGCTTGATATCGTGTCCAGAAGATGAGCTATTCCATCTTCAAGATCTTTGACATTTTTTCTCATCTTTTGTAAAACCTGTTTCTGTGTGCTAACTTTCTCCTGGGCAGATGTGTATCGTTGCAATTTTTCACGGTAGGTTTTCTTAACCTTTTTCGAAACCCATCTGATGATATAGGGAGTGTTATAATGAGCTCTCCAATGACACTTTCCCGGACATTGTTTACAAGAACCGTCTTTGTCCATCGCTACACAATGGTCCTTGCGAGAATCCTCAGGAATGCGACAATTTTCATGACAAGTGTAATTGCAGGTCAGGCAATTTGTTGTATGCTGGCCTTTTCCAGATATATCCTCTTTTTCCTGAACCTGCTCTGTAACTTCGTAAACAAAATCCTTATTTTCTCGTATCTCTTTTTCATGTTTCTCAAAAATAGACATTTCTTCTCCTAAAACTGAGATTTTAGACATTCCAGCATTAATCAAGCTTTGTAGATTGTGAACTGTATTCTCGAGATCCTGTCTTGTCTTTAGGACTTCGTTTGTCATGAGAAGACTCTTCGTTTCCATTTTATCTAGACAGGCAAAGAAATTGTCAAAACTTTTCTTTCCAATGTTCCAGAATGCATACGCAAGACCATCTCTGTCCTTGTTGTCAGCAAATAAAGCAGAATTATTAAACTTGAAATAAGTCTGATGTGGCAAACGGGTCTTGGCGAGAGATGCAAGGACTGGGGGGTCTTGTGCTTCAGCAAACGTAATACAGGTACAAATGTTATTTTCCATATCCTTCCCAAACAAAGACAAAATGGCTTCCAGAATATATTTCTGCGATGCTGTGAGCCGTGCATCTGGAGCTTTTACCAGGAAACAGACGGCGTCGAGGCAAGCCATCCCTTTGTCTCCTGGAAGAAGGAACATTTCTCGAATCTGATTGATGATTTCCTGGTCTCGCTGCACTCCCCTTGTGTCTCCAAATCCCGGAGTGTCCACAATGTGCAGTGCGTAATCTAATTTTGTTGCAGCATCTGGATAAATGCTATAGCATGTGATCCATTCTGTCTGTGATACCGCCTGAAATTAAGTTTATTTTATCTAAAAGTATTTTTATACAAACCAAGGTCTGGTGTAAGTAGCATGTATTCATGAATATGCAAACATTCTTTTATAGAAATATACTTATTTCCTTTGCACTTGACGTCCTAATAGGTACACGTCAGCAAGTTTTACACCACACAAGTGTATATCATTTTTTAAAACTGAATTTCAAGAGAAGCAATGTGTCGTGAAAATATGTGTAAAAAAAGGAAAAAAATTAATTTTCTGTTCAAAATTCTTCTTTTTTGTGGACTTACAGACAAATATGGCAAAATTGGGGAAATATGGTTTTAGTCTTCATTTTGCCAGATCATCAGACTTACGGGGAAAATTTGAACAATAAAGATTCTCCCGAGGAAAATCTCATTCCAATTATAACCGCGCTGTGAACTCTGAACTTTGTAAATATATGACTGACTTTCGTCGATCGAAAAGAAGCTATTTCTCTATAAATGGGACAAAATGGCAATTCTAAAAAAGAATGATAAA